TCGCAGCGACATGGAAATGCTTTCCCCGAGAATATTCCCGACTTTATTTCGCTTCCTTTTTACCGCGTGAATATTAATTTCCAGTTACTCCTTACGTTAATGTAACGGCGGGAAATTAATAGAAATTATTACCGACATCGGGAGCGGTTTCAACGAACGCGAAATATGCACGATAATACTTTAAAAACGACCGTATGCTCGTGTTATTAAATGAATATTTTTAATTCCATGCCGTGCACAATGCTGCCCGGCCAGATAAAAGTGCATGTTCGCTGCTAATACTTCGACGACGGCCCACGGGTCCGTTTGGACCAGTAAATATCATTGTTTGACCGTTCAGTTTCTGACAATTAATTTAGATCTTCGTATGTTCAAGTCTATAGAAGAGAAACTAACGCGTTTAAAAAAAATGTTGAACGATTTTATGATAATTCGATTATAATAATACCATTAATTAACCGTTATAATAGTAATATTAACCCTTGACGGTCCAATGCCGCCATACACGCGGCAGAAATCAATAAAACCGTAAAATCTGGCAGGAATTCTGGCTCTTCGTCTGAAAAACTGCCTAAACTTGGCAGTGTGTAAACTGGAATTAGTTTTGGTCCCTTAAGGGTTAATAATACGATCATATAAAATAAGAAATTTCAGAACAGCAAATTTGCATCGACTTTTAATCTTGATTACGTTAGAGTAACGAAACAACGTAGAACAAGTTGGCCGGCAGAAGGGTCGATTTGATTAGCAAAAGGGTGAATTTGATTAGCAAAAGGATGAATTTGATTCGCCGAAGGGCGAGCGTAATTTTCGAAATAGAGCGAGCGCGTAATTCGCGCAAACGATGGATAACTTGCCGTAGTTTTTCCTCGGTCGATTCGTCGAAAGCTGGAAACACTCGTCGACGCGTTTCGCGTTCTCCGATCCTATCCGGTGATCCGACGACGGTTTCATTCGTCAGAAACGGAAAACGATCGCGGACGCGTCGCCGGGAAAATTCAAGTCGGCGCACAACACGTGGCGGCCGGCTCTCTAATTGCTTCCGGATTCACCGGCGGTTATTTATCAATTTTAGCCGGACCGTGGATAGCCGCCACGCGAAAGAACATAAAACGCCCGGGCAACTGATTGCTTTCGAGCGTGGAACGCCCGAGGCTCGATTCGCCACGGGGGAACACCGGCGTAAACGTTCCTGCCATATGCCGGGATCGAACGTCGACTCAGCCGTTCGAGATAATCGGTCTTATTGTTACTAAGAGAATTTCCCCCTCCTCCTCCCCCGCCCCGTCAGTTCGCAAACTCGAAACTTTCGTCGACTGCGAAGTTCCGAGCGACGATTTCAGCTTTGGCAGAGGAAACTACGGCTTCCGAGGCATCCGTGGAAAGTCTCGGAAGGAACAGCTGTAATGGATCGATGCTTGGAAAACTTGATTTCCATTTGCGCCGCGCAACGAAATTATTAGGGAAACGCGGCCTCTTCGAAATTATCCGCGGCTATACCTCGCGGCATTCTGTTGCCATCCGCCTTCTCGCTGTCTTCTTGCTTGTTTTATGCTTTTATTATTCACCCGCTCGTAGGCGACTCGTCGCGTCATGGTAAAAATAACAAAAGTATGACGGGAATGTCGATATGTCGTATTTTTAAATATAATATTCTTCTTTGGAAGATGTTTATTTAATAATATATTTAATAAATATATATAATAATTATATATAATATAATATAATAATAATGAAAATATGACCCATTTGCTTCGACGTTTATAATAGTTAACGAGCAGCAATGTTAAATCGGTGAATCGATCTAGAAGTATCCAGGACGAATAAAATGTTTCAAGATTATGTCAGCGATTATGTCATTCAGTATAGGCGCGTGTTATCGTTTATTAGCATTTACACGCTGCTTTGCATCGATATTCGGCTGGCTAATAATTGGCTGTAATGGCTCTTTGCTCTAATTACTTCCAAGCGTTGGAATGCTTCTATGATCGATCGATGATATCTTGTTGCAGTAAACGCGCATAGTTTCGCGGTTATCAATTTTCCCCTCTTATCGAGTCCGTCGAAACTACGAGACACTCGAGCGTTGCAAATGCAAATGCGAGCGTTTCTTTTTTTAATTCGCGCGTCGGCGAGTTGCGTAAGATCCGGCAGACACGCGCATTCTTTTCGGCGTCTCCGCGTGGCCAGGACGCGAACTTCTTCTCGCTTGTTATCGAAGTTACGGCCGGGAGCGAGATATAGAACGAAGACAGGATGGAAATAGGGCGCCGTTGCAATCGATATTTTCCCGAGACACTTTGCAACGGCGGTCGATATTGTGTCAGAGATTTAACGAGGGACGTAAGAGAACTTCAGACTTTGCATAATGAATGAATTTACATAACCCCAATTAAATGAGAGCCGGGCGAACGCAAAACCGCTGTGAAAGTAGTTATTTCAGTGTTTGCGGGGAAATTTCGTGTGAATGCAAATCTCGAGGAATTCCATGAAAATTTACTCTCGTTGGAAATGTTAAGGTTGCCGGAGAAGCGGGGTGTTTCTTTCTTTTTCCTGTTCGCGAAATTAGGACTGCAACTGCGATTTGAACGGTGTCGTTTCACCCGTACAGGTCGAATAAAAAACGTTGAATTTCATTGTCCACGTCGATGCGGAGCTTCAGGAGCGTCCATTGAAATATACGCATCCACGGTAAATTAGTTATAGAGGGTGTTCCAAAAATGTCTCGAAATCATTCGTGAGGTCATTCGAAGCAACTTTTTCCTTTACAAAAATTTTCTCCGAAGCATCGTTCGCGAGTTATTAACGAGAAAGCAGTGACCAATGAGAGACGAGCTCGACTGGCGCGAGGCGAGCCAGCCAGCGAGCGCCAGCCGATCTCGCCTCTCATTGGTCACCGTTTTTCGTCGATAACTCGTAAACGAAGCCGCGGATCGCATTTTCGCTGAGGAAAAAGTTGCTTCAAACGAGCTGCTCGACATTTTTGGACACACTCCGTAGTTACAGTATCAGTATCAGCGATCTTTCACACGTTGCCGAAGCGTCGACGTTTCGTTCGTGAGAGCACCGCGCGGAATCTGTTTCCATCGATCGGTTCGTTCTTCCGTCACCCTCCGTACGAAATTTCGATGCGAAACGAGTAATAGTATCATTGACAACATTGTATGTTGCAGACAGTTGATCTTTCGAATTGAAATTAACTATCAAATCAACGCGGACAGCATGACACGTACACGGACGTTGCGACGCGACGCCACGCGACGCGACGTGTCTCGCACCTGGATAGTGTCGCGATGGGCGATCACATAGAAACGAGATTTTCAATTGGAAAACAGTGTTCGCGGAGCAGTGAATAGAGTTGGACCGGCAACGGTAAATCCAGCTGTTCATTCATTACAGCAGAAACGTTAAAACGCTCATCGTAGATTCGAATAATATCCTACATCGTCGTGTTATCTTTTTATACAAATACTTGAGCATTTTTCGAGCAGCTATTTGTATTTTCAGTGATCTCTTTTGCCGTCTCTTCGAATTGTTTTCGCTCCTTTTTCTCTGTTTACTTCGGTGCTCGTGAACTGTGCAAAAAAATGTGATAAAAGTTGTACGAGTTTGTAAGTGAATTTCAATGCTTTTACTTAGTTCTGAAACTGATGCAAGTCCATTTTTTTAAGTTATAAATAAAAAGATTACACTAAATTAATCGCAAATTACGTGATATCTCATTTCTAAAAAAAAAATAATGGACTTGCACCGCTTGTCGGAAAAGGGTTAAATTATTTCATCCTGCAATTCCTATTTCTTTCTGTACTTCTAATAAAATAAATATAAATAAAATAATACATTATACAAATAATTTACTAATTGGACACTCTTCTATCGTTTAACATTTCCTATTTAGTATTTATCGCCGATATGAAAATATATCGAAGTTATGAATGATTTCAACATGAACACGCATTGAACGCCGCAGACATCGGTACGACAAGAAGACTTACTTAACGGCATCTCGTTCCGTATTTAGGAGAATCCGTAATCGAGTTCCGGTCACGCAGTAACGTACCGTTCGATGCACTCGAAGATATCCTCCGTCGATGCATTCTAATGGTCGATATGATATAACATCATAATAATCGACAATTTGCGACTCATTTTTATAGTATTACATAGTATTTTACACATATATTTTTTAGTACATTATATTACATATTATTATATATACTATTATTATATTATATTATTTAGTAAACTATATAATATTATAATATGTTATATATTATTATATAATCGCGTCTCCTCTTCCCAAATTGTGCATTTTCGTTCGCAAGCTAAAGGAAAATTCGGGACAATTTACTGCATTTCTATCGTTCGAACCTACTGCTATTAGATATGCGCGTGCAAGCTGAATTGACAGATCAAGATTAACGCGTAATAAATAAATTCGTTGGTGATGCGTTAACAATGAATTTATCTGTGTAACATTCGCATATAATTCCAGATAAATTATAGACGCGCGTATACGAATCGCTCGCAAGATAAATGCTCGCTGAATATCGTACTTTCTCGTTACTAGACTGTGAATAGTATGCACTTATGAGAAACAGTCGAGCATTTATAAATAACGTGTCGCGTTATTTACATGTCGTCGAAACGATTGAGAAAAACGAAACGAACGCGGCGAGTAATTTCTCGCGATCTGAACAATCTGAGCGCGAGCATAGGAAGAAATTACCGCATTTCGAAATTCGAACGTTCGCAGACCGAAGAAAACCTTCGAAAAATCTGACCTCCGCAGCGAGAAAAGTTATCTTTGACACTTCTTTTACGTTCTTTTTCTCTGGAAGCCAGATTTTTCAACGTGGTCGTCGCGAAAACTATAATCTAAGAATCGATGTCTCTTTAATACGACGATCGTTCGGTTTTCTTTTCTATAACAATACAAACAAAGAAACGTGATTCTGTATTTTTTCAGTCGATCGCTAATGTCTTTGTTCTTCTTGCAGGCGCAAACTCGGAGAGAACACGCTGCGGAACATGAGGTATCGTACAAACAAATAGAAAATAATGTTTCGATCTGTTCGAAAAAAAATCTCTGTACATCTTTTTTCTCCAACGGTTTTCGAACCCGCAAGAGGCAATGAAATATCGTTGCGAGCCACCGTCGGCAACTAGTTGTTTCGCAGTCACGAATTTTATGCGAAATCCGTGAAAATACATTTTGAATATGTTACCAGAATTCTCACCTTTCGGCCCCCCACCCTCAACCCCCTTGTTATCGCGCGACATGGAAAATACAGAACCGTGAAAATATTCTATTCATTATTCGGCAAAACTGGTCGAAATCAATGAAACATTTTACCGGAGAGAATAATTGTAAACGGGGAGGGGGGGGGGGAATCGGGACGCGGCATTCATGAATGCATAGAATTTTTTTCTACGACCGTGGAACGATTAAATTTGCATGCATTTTTCATTCGAGTTGCCGTGGAACAGTATTTCTGCGTGAAGCGCGCTAGGTGTCTCAAGGTTAGCGTAACTCGTGTTTTTAACGACTTTTACAAATTTATCCCGGACAGGACGCTGCGTTCGCGGCAGCGACTCTCCGGCGCTCTCCGCTTCGCGAAAGCAATAATCGTTCGACGTCCGTCCCGCCGAGAATTTTCAGGCATTCTTCCGCGAACGGCGCTGGTAATTGGAACATCGGGCGTCATTGTATCGATTACAACGCGAAAAACTCGTTACAGAGAACGCGATTATTAGAGCGCAGGTATAGGGAGGAGGATTTGACGATGTTCGGACGAGTTTCTGGACTTGGTTTCCTCGAAATCGAAGATACACGATTGTTGTTACGAGGAAATCTCGGTAATTCGAGAATAGATGATTTCTTATAACCGTGCAAGTTTGTCGGAGACCTTGAAATTAGTTTCGACATATTTTTATTACATTCTAAATTTCTTTCTTAAGAGTGGAAACATCCTTTATGTATACAGGGTGTCCTAAGAATGTCTCGCGATCTGGAAACGAGATGTTCCTGAGGTCATTTGAAGTAACTTTTTCCTTTGCGAAAATGCGATCCGCGGCTTATTTTTCGAGTTATCGAGGAAAAACGGTGACCAATGAGAGGCGAGCTTGGCTGGCGCCAGTCGACGCGCTCGCTGGCTGGCCCGCCTCGCGCCAGCCGGGCTCGTCTCTCATTGGTCACTGCTTCATCGTTAATAACTCGTGAACGATGCTTCGGAGAAAATTTTCGCAAAGGAAAAAGTTGCTTCCAATCACCTCAGGAACCCTGTATTTCCAAATTGCTATGCTTTTTGGGGACATCCTGTGTATAGATAGATGTATTATTATTATTATATATCGAATAAAATATAATTATCATATATATTATTATATTTCATAAGCAAAAATATTATTTAATATCAATTTATACCAAAATTTCGCAAAATATCACGACTGTTCGCATACTTCAAAAGTTCCACGTACCTCCGCGCATTCCGAAGAACTTTCGAAACGCGACAAAACTCGGATCTCGAGCGGAGCGTACCGCCGGACGAGGAAAAATCGTCGAATGTCGTAGCTTCGGTCGCGTCGCGTTTTGGGCATCGCGTTGTCGGTGAACACGCGTCGGGAGGGAGGAGAAAAGCCAGGAACTTCGGTACGTGTCCGATGGAACGAACGTCTGCGTTATTAGGCTGTCGGGACCGACAACTTTCGAAAACACGGGGCGAAACTTGAAGAGCATTTTCCGAATGGCAGAAAGGTAATTCTCGTTGGCCGTGTTTCGGTATTAGGGGCCACGGAGAATGACGGTTGCGAGCACAGAGAGAGAGAGAGAGAGAGAGAGAGAGAGAGAGAGAGAGAGAGAGAGAGGGAGAGAGAGAGAGAGAGACGCCGCGTACAGCCCGGCGTTTCGGCATTAACGAGATAATTAAAATCGAATTTTAGGCGGGAACGTTATGCGCGTAGCCGGGCATGATTATCGAAATTACCGAAGTTCGTTCTGGCTCTGGTCGATCTCTAAATACCGGCGGAATTATGTTTCGGAATTTACCGGCGGAACGACATCTATATGTCTTGACGTTCCGCCCGTAATGCAGTGGCGTATGCATTCATTTCCATACTGGGTGTTCCGGTTAAATCGAGCCAGCTGGATATCTCCTCCAACAGCGATGCTGGAAAAAATGTTTCGCATGGAATTCGACCGGCGTCGATGCTCGAATACGATGCAAAAATGATTATTCAAGTTTTCAAGTATTTTAGGTATTTTTTTAAAACATGTGTTGGCCATAGTTCTATTAAAAACCAATATAGGTTTAATTCTCCCAAATTGACGCTCGGATCGTGCAGAAAAATGGACAATTTATAATTAAATAACCTTGACAATTAGGACGAATTTACGGTATCCTGCTTCTCGCGGTGCATCAAATGAAAATTTAATACTCGAAATACGCGCGCATCTAAAAGCTGCACGTCGACTTTTCAATATCCGCTGGCTCGCCAAAATTTACGAGAACGGACATTTCCTTAACGCGGGCGTCGCATTTCCTCTCCGTTTACTCTTTCGCCCGTTTCTATCACCGATTTAGTGCTGCTCGACCGATACTCGAGGATATCGGAAGCTTTATTTATCGCGCAAAGACTGCGAATCGTCAACGGAGATTCAATTGATATCTAACACGCTTCGTGTTAGTTTTTTTTCACGGGCCGATGGCCACGCGTATTCTCGTTATTGTCTGTAACGATCGGGTTTACAAGTCGGAGATCGCGTGTCGAGGAGAGCATGAGCAGAGAACCATGGAAGTGTCAAAGGTGGGGTCCGACGGAAGCACGAGCAACCCTCGGAACAACCCTTGCACCGCCCCTTCTTGCCGCATCCAGCCGGCAAACTTGCCGTTTCTGCCCAGGACGCGCAAGTTTCGCGAAGCGTTCCGCTCAGATAAGTAAGCAATTTTGTTTTGATTAGCAACCAACTAGAAACAGCAGATACTGTCACGCCGTGAATGCAAACTGAAACTCGTCCTCCAAGGAAACCCGTCGGTGTCCCAGATCATTTTTCATAAACATGTATCCTAAATCTTGCGGCCGTCATCGAGAAATCCGAACAGCTTTTTCATAACGGGTCTTTGTTTCTTTGGCGCTTGTTTAAGACCCTTACAAAAGAAAATTTGTCTATTTCTTTTAGAAAACCCTTTGCACTCGAAGCCACTTTAACTGTAAATCTAAATTGATTTTTCTAACTTATGGTATTTCCATTTTATATGACAAAGTACATTTTATGCATATTATATATTCATATAGTCTTATTATTATTATATATATAATATATATAATATTATATAAATAATTAAGTAATTATTATTATATATAATTTAATAATTATATATATATATAATATAATATTAATTTATTATATAACTATAAAATAATATGAATTTAATATATATGCGACTCGTACAACAGTTAGACTTTCAACAATGTTTTACGTCTAAACTTTTACGATATAAAAATTATCTTAATGTAACAATCTTAATCGGAGTCACCGCTCGAGTGCAAAGGGTTGATATAAATACGAAAATTTTGATTACTTTCATTCTACGATTTAACGCTCGAGGGGTTGAATAGTGCAATTCAGGGCGCAGCGAAATTCTGGGAGTCGCGAACATTTTTCTTATTGCCGCAAAAAGATCTTAAGCGGCCGCCGTTGAAAGACCGCGGCAGCTTGCTGCTCCACGGTCGTGCTACAGATTATGCAGCATTGTGTGCACACGGGATCTTGTGTTTCCAGGGGCGCGGCTATGCGAATGCTTTTGTTCCACGGCTTGCAGATTCGTGTATTAGACTGCGTCATCGTGAAATGCATGCAGAAGTTCCGGCCCTTGCGTTCGTACGCGGAGCCGCGGCGGTATTCGAATAATCTCCGGGCGCAGTTTCGACATCTCGTTACCTATGTCTCTCCGCGTTCTATACTCTAATTGTCAAGTAATAAACAGAGCTATCCGCGCGCGCGTTGCAGGGCCACGCGGAGCCGCCGCCGGTGTGCACGCGAATACAAGAAGCGGGATACATTATCACGTAACTATGCGGCGAGGGAGCCTCGTTTCGATGCAAATACAACGTGGACAACAAGCGGATAGGGAGGCGCAAAGGTGCGCTCGCATGCCATATGCGACACTGATTTTAATCAAACCCAACGGTGTAAGAGGGAGAGGTGGACCGACTACGATTATCCCAACGCGCGACATTTCTGCGACGCGCTAAAAGTTTGCTTCCGCCAATGTCTCCGTCTTTTTCACGTTCTATTTGCATTAATGCGAGCAGTGCGATAAATGAGGTATTTTTATTGTTTACCGGCTGCTCTCGCGGCGATCGAAGTACCAACGGTGCAATTATAATACGCTTTTTTAACAGCGCCATTACGATATATGCCTTATTAATAATATAAACAAGATAAATTTGGTTAATAATATAACTTTCTGTGTTCTAACTTTTTGCCACGATTCGAAGGCAATTCGGAGACCCGAACCGACCATTCGCGCAGCAATAAATTGCACAGGCGTAGGACCGGCGCAGAGAAATTCCCGGCAACCCGAAATTCGGCATTTCCTGGAGAAATTACTGTACTCCTCGATGAGAACGCTTCGCGGTTCGAGAGATCGTTTCACACTTTATCAACTGTTATCCTTTCGTCGTTGTTTCAACGTCTACAGCTCCGGAACGCTTCCAGCTGCCGCGAGAACATTTTATAAGGGAAACTTCCCGATACAGCCGCCGCGCGTTCGCGAGAATTTTATTTCGAAAAACGGTCGCTCGACGTATCGCCGCGTCTCGTTCCCGTAATTGCGCTTTATATGTATATTTCCCTCGTGCGCGTATCTTGAAGTTCCTCTTAGCACTCGATTCATTTCCGGTACGAAACGAGCCGGCAGGCGTTTCCCCCTTTCGTAGCGAAAGGCGCGAACGCGAGCAACAAGCTGGAAATCGTCGACTAACGACGAAACGCCGAGCACCGTGACACCGCCGTTGCCGTGAATATTCGGCT